CAAACAACTCCTTGTTTCTAGACGCGTTCTTAATATAATAAAATAATAAAAAAAGGAAATTTTGGTTCGGTCAGTTGATTAATCAGCCCTTATACGATAATGGTAGGAATTGATGAAAGACTATGTTCATCCCACCACCCCCTTATCTTCTGTTCCACCTCGTACTCCTTCTCTTCTTCCTTTTCTTCTTCCTCCTCCTCCTTCTCCTCCTCCTCCTCCTCCTCGTCCTCGTCCTCGTCCTCTTTCTACTTCTACTTCTTCAACGGTAGACTCTCGAATAGAGGACGAAGGGTAGGACAGATTGTTATACCTAAATAAATCGAGGGATTGTTTGCAGTGGCATCGTTTTACGCATGATGCCGCGCTCGTTCTTTATTCCTTTCTCGATTCTCGAGAGTCGATGCCACTTGAGCGAGCCTCGAGTGTAAGCGAATGCTTACCAACGGGTGCGAGCGAGAGGGGTTGTTGCACGAGTACAGTCATTCGAGGTAAGCTCAATTCTTCTTCTATCTCTCTCTACCACCACCACCACCACCACCACCACCCTTTTCTCTTCTTTGATCTGTACCGGCAAATCTCTGGAAACTACCCCGATGTCCCTACATACATGTTTTTATATACAGGGTGGGTAGACATTTTAAATGGAATCTTATTCTCAATCTTAATTGGGATGATATTTGAGTATAAACAATATGTATGACATTTCATATTTGTTTTTTTTGTGTTGGGCAAGGGGATAAGATTATTTTTATACAATTATTGGAATGTAATAAAAAAGAAATGTGAGAGTGATTTTGTTTGGTTTGTAGGATTATAGTTGATAGAAATATTTGAAGGTTTGATCATGTTGAAATAAATCACCCTGTATAATTATATAAGTGTACGTATCATACTATACACTCTTTCACCCACTTGGACTCGAATTCTACAGAGACTTGCGACCACTCCTCCTCCTCCTCTTCGTCCTCCTTCTCTTCGTCCTCCACCAGCAACGGCATTACTACTCGTCGCGTTATAGTCATCGTCGGCAAAGGAATGACGCCCGCAATGCGCAATTGTCCTTCGCGTTCCACCTCGAACCACTTCAGCAGAGGAAGAAGAAGGTAGAGGGGTAGGAGGTGAACGAGGAGGAACGAGTCGAGTGGCCCACCGTCAAAGCTGCCATGTAAAAGAACGTTGCGTCCTTTTATTTCTTTTTCTTTTTTTCTTTTTTTTTTGTCTTTCTTGTTCTGTTACTTTTTTGTTTAACTTCGTCCAACTCGTCAAAGAAAACGTTATTGTCTCTAGTTAGGGGAATTCGGGGACGGTGACTTTGAGATTTCTTAGGGACTTTTTCTATCTCCTCTGTTTCCTAGACTATCCAGTGCTGAAAATTAAAAAGAAACCTTATTTATTTTTATCTTTTTCATTTACTTATTTGTTTATTTATTTATTTATTTATTTATTTATTTATTTATAGGAAGAATTTAAATTTGTTTGACCGATATGCGTTTAAATATCAATGCAATGTTCTTATTCGAAGTTATAATTTTACAATCTGATAAGAAATGTCTACATCCTTAAAAAAACCATTGTATAAAACATGAAAAAATAATTCCACGTTGTATCAAAATGGTGTTAAATAAAACATCAAAAAATAATGCAAATATGTTGTATGAAAATTGCATTGAAAATGGTCATAATTTGTGAAAAATAGAAAAAAAACAAAACAAAACGATTGGAAAAAGAAAAAACATGATAGAGACGTAATCACACCTGGGTCCGACTTAAGGGAGGACAATTAGATGGCGGCGTGGCTCCCGTTGAAAGTTCGCTCGGCCTGTAGGTTCTCCATATTCATGGGAGATCAGCGCGCGTTTAGTCAGGGGGATGCCGGTGAGTTGATCAAAGAAAAGGCTCGACTACGAAAGCAAGCCCGAAGTCCTCACAGCCCCTACGGAACCTTTCTCTCTTTATTACTCAAACAACATCGGCCATCGGAACTCTCGTTGAATCCGAACGGCTCAACTGTACACTTTTCAAATAATGATCCCGTCATATTGTATACCTTTGCATTTTTGCATTAACGACCTAAGCACGGACCTTTCTTTTAATGTTTCGAGATCAACCATGAAGCCAAAGTGGAAGCAACCAATGTTTTTTTCTTTCTTTCTTTCTTTCTTTCTTTCTTTCTTTCTTTCTTTCTTTTTGTTTTCTTTTTGTTTTCTCTTTTTTTTTTTCTTTTTTTGACGAATATCACATTTTTTTAGTCTTTTGTAGAGAAGAAACGAAAAGAAATCATCGGTGTATTATTTTAATTCGTTAATTTTCTTTTTTTTTTTTTTAATTTATTTCAATTGTTTCGCAGATAAAAATGGTAGTGTGGTATCCGACGTTGAATAAAACGATTTACATTCTTTATTACTAATATTCTACGTTCATTAGAGTTTTCTCAACGAGTTGGACAAGTTGGTAAGGTTTGAAAGGGTTGTTTCAAGAAAGACGACGAGATCTTAGCAATCCGTCGATACTACTCCAGGTTTAGGTGGAAGGACTGCGTCGACACTTGGATTAAAGTTAAATTAAACGGACTTTCTACAGTCCATCTGAATAAAACGAGATTGTAAATCTTAAAGAAAGAAGAAGAAGAAGAGGAGAAAATTTGAGAGAAAAGTCGAACGACACGCACACTTTGGCAAAAGAGGCCGCGTGGTGCCATTTAATTACGCCTTGAAAAGGTTGGTAGGTTGGAAGGTCTCTAGATAGACGTAGCAATGGTAACAGCAGCAGTAGCAGCAGTAGCAGCAGCGGCAACGATAAAATGCTCATGGTAGTAGTCAAAGCCGAATGTATACTTACTTCCGTCCTTGCGGGCCTCCGCGAGCATTCCTCCTGGCTTCACCCACCCAATGCAAACATGAATATGAAAGCTCGAGAGTTGCCCCTTTGGCAAAGCTCAGGACTTCTCTCTGTCCACCCACCTTTTTTACTGCCACCATCACCACCACTACTACCACCATTACCATTAGCATTACTATCATCAGCATAACAGAGGAGTCCGTCATACCACTGCGATAAAATTTCCTCGTCTCTTCTAACCTCGAGAGATTACCGTTATCCTGAAAAAGCCATGGCGACCATCACGCAAATTGAAAGCGTGCCCTCGCCCCTGGCTAAGTCCACCTATCCCTCTCTCTTCCCTTCTTCAATCTCAAGAGCCAGCTCGCGAATCTCTTCTATCTCTTTCCTTTTTCCTTTTTCCTTTTTCCTTTTTCCTTTTTTTCTTCATTTTTCTTTTTTTTTCTTTTTTCTTTCTTCTCTTTCGCTTTTTCTTTTCACCCTAAATATATAACCACTTTCCGATATAAACTTTGAGCCAGCCCTTTTTACCAAATATTTCAACCCCTCATAAATTTATACCAAACACCGACTTACGCTTGTTTGAACAACAGACCAAGGATGAAGTCTTTCATAATCGATTTTAAGCTACTTATGTAGATTACATGAAAAAATATATCTTATGAATTTATCTAATCAATTCTTTTTTTTTTTTGGTGCGTTATCATTTTCAAAATGTATTTCATTTACTACGTGTCTATGGATAAAACGATTCAATGATTTACAATTCGTCTACTAATAATTATACGAAGAAATATTTATAACCTTTTTTCATTTGTTCATATTTCAATATTGTTCCTTTTGTCGTATACTTTAATTGAAAAATTAATTACTTGATGTGTATTGACCTTTGTCGCACGAATAGAATTAATTGTCTTAAACTAGTAGATAATTGCCAGTAGTGTCACCCTTATTTTCTACGAAAAAGTCTACAGCATAACGCCATCTATTAATTTATAAAAACATAACTAAATCTACAATGTCGATATCTTATCGACAAACAATCTGAAATATCGACATAGGTCAATAATTTAATATATCGATAACATTCCAATAAAGTAATCTGTAATACCGACATTGGGTACATTAATTTGAAATTACATCACACTTATTGATATCAATGTACAGTATTAAAAATAATAATAGACTAATAATTTTCTTTTTATAAATGTATTAACATATGAGCTATTCAGTGCACACATCTACATCTCTACAGTGCATACATCACATTAACTCCACTTTTTGGAAAATCTTAAATTTAAGTGTCAAAGCACTTGGTATAGTCATAACTTTTTATATTTATAATAACTTTCCTGAATAATAAAGATTAACACCATTAAACGGCAACATTTTGTTTGCCATTGAATAATAAGTAATACAAAAATATACATTATTTCATCGCATTTCTCAACTTCTTGTTTTATGAAGTTAATCGATGTGTGCACTGAATGGCTCATATATATCTTCTATTTTTAATTCATTATAGTCTTTTATTATTTCATACACTTTTACATTGATTTATTAATACAAAGACCTTTGTATTGTTTGTTTGTTTTTTTTTCATAATAAAACTTAGCATATTACATAAAAAATATCAAGTATATAATCAGTACAAGGCATTGTTTAATTCTTCGTCAAGAATATATTAAAAATTTCTTTTCTCTAGCATAATTATTAGGCTAGTCATCGAAAATGAGATTAGAAATTGTCTCTATGTTTATAAAGAGATTCTAAATTGTTAAATATATAAATGATGTATAATAGCATCATAATTTTTTTTTTATAAGTATCCTTGTTAGCATAAAAGACACATTAATTTTAGTATTACTAATTTTTGAAATATAACATAAAAGGCACTTATACAATTAGATGTAAAGTCATCATTAAAAATTATTATTACAAAGCAATTTGAATTTCAATTCTTGCATATAACTATGAACCTACGTATATATGTATATATGTATATATGTATATATATATAGCTCTCCTATTTTATACAAACTTTAAGTCATCTGTGTATGCAATAGCATACAATTTTACAGGCGCACTCTCTTTCACGCAAAAAATTCTCATATATAAAATTTGTACACACTCATAACGTATGTATTATGGCAATTATTATACGTAAACTTAATTGACTTTAATATTATTGAATATTAAATTAATTATATGTATTAACTTATTATGACAAATAAACTAATGATGCAATATTAATGCAGGCTCGAATATCGCATAATAACATTCTTCTATATATAAATGCTAACAAAATAATATTATGAACACTTGTTATTCTTCGTCATGTCATAGGGATCTAGGATAGTTTTATTTTCCAGCGTAAGTTGGATTTTTGAAAGTTGATGTTGCTTGTTTATAAATAGGATTTTCTCCCTATAAAAATAAAACGAAATGTATTAGATCACTTTCATTCTATAAAATTCAAAAACTAATTATTATTATTATTATTATTATTATTATTATTATTATTATTATTATTATTATTATTATTATTATTATTAATTGGCATTAGAAACTCGAAAGTTCATTGCCGCAAATATTAAATCCCTCTAGTGTTCAAATTCCAGAACTAAATCTAATATATAAATATTGTATAATTGAATAAAAATAACTTACCGTATCCCATTTAGCCAACATTCTTTCCTTTTCAAATTTAGCAAATTCTCTTCTATCGTGTATCGTTGTTAACAATTTCCACAATAACAATAAAGCTAAACCGATTAAAACAATTGCAGCTATAACTCCTAATACTATTCCAAGCATGTTCACTCGAGGAGGACACTCTCTTTCTGCTTGTGCACGCACTTTCAAACAATTCGTCTCGTTATAATAATAAACAAAGTTGTATTTGCAGTCATCTTCGTCTGTACCATAACACATAACTTCATCGTTATCAACGTCGCCGATAACATTTTCTACGGGTTCGGGAACAAATTCTCGACAATTTTTAGCACATTCTTCGGGATTACTGTAATTTCCAGTTCCATACATCTGACATTGTACGCAACTTTTGAGTTCCTCGCATCTACTAGGACACGTCGGGCATTTGTTACAATATTTACCCGAGTATCTTGTGTTACCTTCCTCGTGACAAATACATTCACCACAAATGCAATCACCCTTAACAAGTAGAAATAATTCAATGAGATAAGAATACATAGTAGATTAAAAGATTTAAAGGATTCAAATAAAATGAATCATTTTACTTACATGACCCGAACAAAGTATGCCATTAGTAGTTCCCGGCGCTATACAAGAATCATTTGAAGATCTACAACTACAGGATGGTCCAGACCAACCACCATTACAAACGCATTGCCCGCATTCGCATGTTCCATGATTTGAGCAAAGAAATCCTTGATCACGATCGCATGAAAAATTGTCGCACTCGCAAAAACGACCTGATATTATCTAAATACAAAAATTACATTTAAATATTAAATATTGAAATTATTTCTTTAACATATTCTATATTATATTGATTGACACTTTTGTTACTTACTTCTTCAGGATTTTCTCTTTCTTCGCACTCGCATTGACCACACGCACAAGTACCTCTTCCCGAACAATCAACCAGAGACGTGTTATCCGGTCTACAAGATTGAAAATGTTTGTCAAATCCACTCATTTCTTGATGTGGACTGCATTCACAACGTTTTCCAAAGAATCCATCATAACAATCACAGACTCCACAATTCAATGTACCAACGCCGTTACATTCAGGAGACATTGGTTCATACATAGGACCATCTCGTTCGCATTCGCAATCGCATAACATTTCTAAATTGACTGTTAATGTTTCATTGATACCAACCTACAAATGTTCATAATATTATACTTATGTAAATCTAATGAAAACAATTTATTTATTATAAAATTCTTTACGATACTTACTGGATAAATATCAAATTTCTGTTTCCATTCAGATCTATTAGCAGGACAACTAGTAACTTCAATTTCAGCAATAAATTCTACTTTCGTACCAACTTTTAATCCGTCACATTTAGAAGTTTCAACAGCCGGTCCCGAGCCTAAACAACTCGAAAAATATTTCACTTTCACAGCACTGCTGGCAGTATCTTTCATTTCTACTGAACTAGAAATAGCATTGTATTGTTCCCGAATCAATTCCACTACATTACTCGAATCATCTGACAATTTTCCTGCAAATGATCCTTCCACGTGTTTCGTTAACTTTTTATATACATTGATTTGTTCTTCGGTAACCGCCCATATAATATTAATAGCATTTTGTTTAACTTTTAAATTAATTTGCGATATACTTGGATAATCTTGAAGGGACGAATGAGTATAAAGACCGTTATAATCAAGATGACATATTCCATCATTCGGTTTAACAATTCCACCTAATTTTCCATCACCGGCATAATGAAAACCAGCATCTGTTGAAAATACTAACAATCTACGAGCCTTTTCTCGCCAACCAATTTGATTTCTACAAACGATAGCTTGCATTATTGCATCGAATCCACCTTCGGGTGCATCCAAATTACCGGAAACAGATGCATTTCTTACTAAACCCTGTAATTTAAAAAATTAATCAATTGTTTATCACAAGTTTCAGTTTGGAATGTCAAATTTTAAATGAATCTTTTTCTTACAGCAAAATGTCTTGTATCTTGTGACAGTCTCATGATGTTTTTATATCCGTAAGGTGCTGCGCATCCATCACATGGTTCAACAAGGCTAGAATGAATAAAAACAAAAAGCAAATACATATAATAGTTATTTTCAATCACTACCATAGTTCAAATAACATTCTATTTATATCTAAAGAAACTCACAATTTTGGCATTGTGTTTACATAGGGCATTACTACTTTATCAACGAAACTACCAAAACCCAAACGAAAATTGCTTGTAATTTTACTCATACTTTCTACGAGTAACTGACCTAAGTCAGATAATTTTTTCTTATCATCTTCCATGGATTTACTTAAATCCATAAGATAATACAGATCAACTGGATAATCTTCTGCTTGTGAATACGCAAACGACATCCTATAGGCTTCATCTGAAATAATTATTGATCAGTTATAAATATATTCTGTATTAAATAATAAAATAAATTTAAAAAATAATAAATTACGAATCTCACTTATTCTAAGTTTTAAATTCACTTCCTGAGGCCACATTTGCACAGCATCTTGTCGCTTACTACTACTACTACTACTACTACTGCTTGAACTTCCTTGAAAATGTGTAGAACTTGTGCTAGAATAATTAGTGGAAGAAGTTTGTTCGAAAGAACCATGACCCTCAATGCCAGCATTACCACCAATGGAATAACCTCCTTTAGTTAAATTACGGTGTCTCACCATACTAAAAACATTGTCCGGATTCCAGGTATATTTTTCTGGACATGTTATTAGTATTTTGGTATTTATGTTGGGAAGAAAACACCTCTTTTCAGGAAACCTCTATAAAAAGCATATCACATGTTATTAGAAATTTAATTATTAATATTGATTGAAATATTTTATTTAAAATTGCTTACAGGAGCTGCACACCAAGCACAGTGTGGAGTCTGTACACACTCATGGCACGTTTGTTTACTGATACATGGGTTCATTCCTGTCAGTCTTTCTGGAGGTGTATAATTTGCTATGACTATAGATATCCATATTGATATTGCTATGACCCATCTTAAACTGACGAACATTCCTAAAAATTATCAAGTAAATGTGTAAACATTTATAATTTATAACATAAATTTTGAATAAAACTTTAAATAATTTATATTTCAATAATATGTGTTTTTCTTATTTTAATGCATAGGATACATTTAACAGCATTTGATTGGAAAACCACATCCTGTACAGACAGGGATTTATGTTTGATGTCATATAAAGGAATAGAATATAAAATTAAAAAACAATTAAAAATACATTTAAAATAATAATAAAGTTTGGCACAGTTTTTTATTACAAAATGTGTTAAATCTGGCTGTGACACCAATTATAATTTAAACAAACTGACTTGTTAGTTCTAAGAAGCATAAGTTCTATTATTAACCCATTGAGTCAGTGTCTCCTGTGTGACTCAGTGTAAGTTCTCTGTAATAGGTTTGGTCAAAATATGATAAATTATTTTATGAGTTACTTCACCAAAATATATAAATGTAATTTTATAATTTATACTAACAAAAGAAAAAAAAAATAAGTATAAATTAAATAAAATAAATAATTGTTATTCTATAAACGTGTATACATATGTCATTAATCAAAAGATAAAAGTAACAATTATTAATGATAATTATATGGTATAAAAAGAATCAAAGAAATTGATATTAATGTCAGCTTTAAATAGAAATAAAAAAAAAAGAAAAATATTCCTATAAACTTGTATGAGTTATTATTCGATAACATTGATTAATAATTCTTTCAACATGTAGTCATAATATCCTGTCTTTTCTTGTGCAAATATGTAAAACATGTTTGTTTCAAAAAATTTAGTTTATTCATTTTTTATTCTTACATATGTATATCCTAATAGATATCCTTGATTTGTAATACGTATGGTTTTAAAGTAAACTGTTAGTTACATGGACTATAAACAAGTTGTCAAAAGAATTTGTTTAGATAAAAAGAAAATATAATTAATATTTAAATTCTTACTTAATAGTTGTTATTTTCAATCAAGTCCTAAAACATCACAAAATGAAAAAAATATATACTTTTCGTTGCAATTTAGATTACCATAAATGGTAACCTATGAAAAGACACAGATACACTACGTACTACTTCCAACCCACATCGAACTAATGTAAGCACAAGTACAACACCAATACACTTCCTTGCAACACACTCGACTCCACTCAACTCCTTACGTACACCTCTCACCACACTACATTCACCTCTTTTACTGCTCCTTCTTTCTACGCATGCGCATTCTTTCTACGCATGCGTAGTACGCGTATGCGCTTACCTTACGTACGCGGATTACGATATCAAATCTTAAAAAGATGAGCTAATGCTAAAAAAATCTTTAGCTGCAATTCACATTCTTTTTTTTTTAAATAATACATTTAAATTTTGTCTACTAAATTATATTTTTATACCTAATCTTTTTAAAGTTAATACTATTATTTATTAAATAAACAATTGTTTATCACATTTAAGATTTTAACTCCTGTATAAGCATATGAAAAACAATGTTTATTCTGATCATTAATTCATAATTAATTAATCAATATTTGACCGATTTTAATAAACATGATCTTATTTTAAAAATGAAACTTTGTGCTATGAGATCACGTTTTTTAATTTTGAAAAAATCTTTTTCTAGTACATAAATTATTATCAAAAAAACAGCTGTTTCCAACACAATTCTTTATAGTGAAAATAAAGTTCTTTTGAAAATTATCATATTCGTATCAAACACGTTATTATCAAAGAAATGTATAAACATAAGATACTGAAAAATATCAGTTCATCCTACTAACACTAATAATTTATCTAGAACTATACTGATTGTCTGATATCTGTGAGAGGATTCTAAGTACACAAGCTTATCTCTGATATGGTAAATTTGTAGTGGGGGCGACATAGATTCCATCTTTTATTATTAGTTTATATTTTATCCGCATATGTCGCTAAAGTCGTTAATTTAAAATTAAAGGATTGTGAACAGTCTTAAATAGTTAGCTTATTTTATGACGATAAATGTAGGGGTTATTTACAGCATATAAATATATATATATATACGATGAAAAATATTTGTTAAAAATTTAAAAAACATTTTCATTATGTTATTCATTAATTTCGTATAATGTTTTTTTATATTAATAACAATAACAATATTATGAAATATTCTATTGATATCTAAAATGTACTACAAAAAATAAAACAAAGTTATAAATATAAACAATTTTTTATAAACGTGTGACATAACTACTTTATTTTTATATTAACTTGTGTCGTTTAAAAACAAATTTTAATTAATTTAATTAATTTGATAAATTGTGAGGTTTAAATATTGACATTTAGGATTTCAAGTCTTAAAAGCATAATATAATATAATTTAAATCTGTATGATTTAGTTTAAAAAAATGAGTAATTTGCACGATACTAAAGTCAATGTTTCAACGATTAAAAGAGTAAAGGATCATAAACTTCGACGCAATCATGAAGAGACGAATCCATGTATGAAGGTATCTTTTGTGCAATAAAAAAATGTTTCATTTGTTATGAACTTATATATATATATATATATAAATAACATTAATCATTATTATGTGTAATTATTAGGAGCATAACTTATCTTTAAAATGCTTAGATGATAACAATTATGTTCACGATGCTTGTGAATTGTACTTTGAAAATTATCGTAATTGTCAAGACTTTTGGGTAATTCTATTTAACAAAAAACATGTCTCATATAATTTCAAATAAACTTATCATGAAATTTAATCATATATTAAAATCCATTTGTATATTTTAGCAAAAAGTAGTGGCTGATCGTAAAAGAAAAAATGTCACACCTTATCTTCCGATTCCAGAAGATCGAGAAAATGTAAAAAACGAATACATTAAATTAGGTTTTAAATAAATTAATAAATGATATATGCATGCATTTGCATATATTTTAGCAATAACGTTTCAGTGATCAATCATTTAAATTTTGCCAATTTCCTTTAAGTAAAAATGTATTAATTTAAAATAAATGTATACTATTAAAGAGAAAGAATTATGTTATGTTATTATTGTAATAAATTGTAATAAATTGTATATAAAAATGTAAGGATCGCATTTGAAATTGTTTTAACGTTTACATATATTTTTGTCTATATTTACATTATACACATTTTTATTTTAAAAATATTGCTTATTCTGATCGCATGTATTATAATTTTTGTTAATTAATCTGAAATAGAATTCGTAAAGATGATTACGGCATCATGAAATAAATACTAATATGTTATATACTAACAAAAATAATGATCATTTCTGCAATTGTAAAAATGATATTATTAAATGTAACACCATGTGAATAATAAATACACTCTTGTTTTTCGTTTTTTTTTTCAATATGTAAAAGTACACATATTAACTTTAGAGTGAATACATTTATATTTATACAATATCATAAGTAACATTTTTTTTTATCAATATCTATAAACGTAGTCCAAGATTAATGTATTCAAAATTTTTTTAAATTATTTTTATTTGTTTCTTTTTTTATTATTTTCCTTGTATGTAAAGAAATATTGAAATTTTGTTTTTAATGTAATCCTTACTGGTGTCTTAATTATTTTAACGACGTCCGTCTGGATTATTATTAAAAATCGAAATAAATTAATCGTGTTTATTCTGCTACTCAGATTTTCAGTACCCTTACAATAGCTAAGTATAATTATTTTTTAACATGTGTCTTAAATGTATTCTTAAACATATTTTTCAAAATATATGCATAAGAAAGTATGTTAATAGCTATTGATACAAAACATACAAGGAATAATATGTATAAAAGACCAAAAAGCACATTTAATGCATGCGTGTAGTAAAATGAACAAATATACAAGTGAATATAATATATTCTCACATATAGATAAAAATCAATTAAAAACTATAGTCTAATTAAATAACGACGTATGAAATAAATCATTAGTAAATTAAAGACAATTTGTTTGTAATCTCCATTACTTCAAGGAATCGATGACATATTTCAATAAATATGACATCATTTGTCAGGTTTCAAGTAAAGGAGTTAATTGTGTGTATGTGTGTATGCATAAAATTTAAGCTAGTTATATATTAGTAATAATATTAGACTTAATTTACTTTGGTTTCCTATACAAGTGAATTATTATTTGATCTATGATTTTCGTATGTTGTTTTTACTAACGTTCCATTTCCAGCACCTTCTTCTCCTTTCCATTCGTTTATTTCCATTTATTGCCTCTTGTCTTTTCTGTTGCTCTTTTCATTTTTAACAGATATTATCATCCACGAGTAGTCAATCAGAATGATTTTTTATATGGAATGTTTGAATACGAAAATGACGGCACATTTGGCGCACCTAATATTAATATTTATTGTCCACTTATTAAATCATTCTAAAATTGCACTTATGTAATTTAAAAAATAAACAAGGTAAACATACCACACAGGTACCATAGTGAATGTGAGCAAGCAAAGAAAAAATTGCTACGAAGTACATAGATTTCAGATTCATTTCAGGCAAGACAAATGAAAGAATAGCTGCTACTGTTACCGGTAACAATATCCATGGTAATATTTCACACCTAGTATTGCTCATTTGAGAGACAATTAAGCGGCACTGTAATATATACAAAATAATATATTTCAATTCCTTAAAATAAATGTTTAAAATCATTCTCATTTGATTGTTTTACGATACGTTTGTTTCAAAATAATATTTAGTTACTGTATATAAAACTATTATTTAATACTAACTTACACATATATTAGAAAAAATAGTGCCAATGGCAAAATATATTATACGAGGATCCTTTTCCAATATATCTTGTTGGGAGAACAATATCCAAAGTGTAGAAATCATAAATAACATTACCAAAGGCACCAATGGTCTTATTGCTTCCGGAAATGTTCGCATTTTTCCTGTCCTATCCCTGTACGACCTAATAATAATAATAATAATAGTAATATACATGTTACAATAATAAAACATTAATCATTTGTAATAAAATCATGATAAGGGATAATTATACCAACTTGTATATATTCCACAGTACAACTGGTAAATTCGATACAAGAGCACTGACATATAATAACATTTCAAACATTATTCCCGCTGATATTCCTCCTGGCAAGTAAAATTTCCATGCTTCATGACCTCCTATGCTGGTCAGAATAAATACTAAGACAGTTGCCTGGGGGATTTGATTAAAATATAATTAATTATCACGAATAATAATATTAATTATAATATCTAACTATTAACACCTTAACTACAGTTGACACAATTTGGCGTCAAATTGAATATTGTTATTTGCTAAGGATAATCGTAGTTAAGATGTTAATTAATATTAATAAACACAACCAACCAACATAGATGCATCATATCCCCAAGGAAGGAATAGCACACCCGTATTGTATTTCTCCCAGTGACTTAAATAAAAATTAACAAATACATTCCAAAGTATGAAATACATTCGTAACGGGGAAACACTATGATCTGTCCTTCCAAAAACTGAGTACATACAAACAGTGATTAACATTGCTGTCCAACTGTCCAAACCATGATCAAACAATTCACCCAAAGGCCCAGAGGTTTGTGTACGTCTTGCTTGTTTTCCATCAATACCATCTAAACATAACAAAAATTATTCTATTGAAATCAAATAATTTTAATATAAATTATAATTCTTGACAAATCATATATCGTTAGAATAAATTAAATTTACTAAATTATTAACTAAGTTTCTTATATTATTTCCTGGAAATGTAGTAAAACAACTATTTACTTACCAAGCGTGTATGCCATAAAGATATTAAATGCAGCTACTGCAAATACCCAACGAGGTATAGGCGAATATTGAGAATGATCATCACTCGATGCATAAAAATAATAATCAAACGATGCAAATACCACAAAGTTTAATACGGTAAAAAGAAATCCAGAGAACGTTAATACGTTTGGTGCTACCCATTTTGGACAATACTAAAAAAATAATAGAAATATAACATATATATATATATATATATATATATATGATCCATTAATTGTTATTATATGATTATTTATAAATATAAAATGTATACCTCTACAACTTTGTTCCAAAATGGATGCATAACATATACACTGAGTGGACTTGTATCCAATGAGCTATACTAAAAAAAACATATAAACATGTATATGCGTGTAGATATATTTATAATAAAAAGATTGTTAAATATATATATAGATAGATAGATAGATAGATAGATAGATAGATAGATACAAAGAAATATAATCATGTAATATTCTGATATAATAAATAATAAGAAAATGAGAAAATAATAATACATAAAAATGCATCTGTATTCACTATTTAGTTATGTTAATTGATCATAACTATTAGAATATTTTTTGATCACAATGATTTACTGCTTTTATTTAATATATATTTGTATTTCATTGTAAATGTAAACAAATTATAAAAAAATAAAAAAATAAATAAATGGTTGTTAGGGTTTAAATAGTTTATCAATCACTTACTTTATAATTTTCAAAGCCAGTCAAATGTTCCTCCGATAAATAGTCTATTTCGAGATTCATTTTTTGATACATGATAAGAGAGATTTAACCTTTCGATTTGCAATAGTTTATTTTGAAAATATTTAATGTCCGCTTTATTAGCTTGTATATATACATGAAAGATTTAGTTTTTAAATATCAATTATTTCAACCCCTCCTAAAACAATTTAAAATGATGTATATTATACATAACAGTAACCTTTTATATAGCACCTATTCATTATCATAGAACAATGAAATTTTAGCATGGATTCTCAATTCCCAAAATGATCGCAAATTTGTGCGCCACTGTAAACGTAAATATAGGGATTCTATAGGAGGGATGAACCATTCATATTCAGCTCATGTGCCATTGGCTGAAAATTTTGGGGGATCGCTTGAATTTATAATAATTTTCTCGTGTAACCTATTCTATTTTAATATAAATTTTTAA